CAATATAAAAAAATAACCTTCTAACCTCACTTAACCAAGTGGCTTAAAATAATATAAAGTTATCAGTTCTGGTAAAATATAGCCTAGCCCGGGGGAACAAAAAGAAAACATAAAAATAAGAACCCCAGACTATTCATTTCAAGGATGAATTTTAAGGAAGAACCTTTGATCATTTGTCAACTGAGCCACCCAAGAAATATGAATCAGGCTATAAATTGTACTGAGATGTTACCAAGAATCTGATGACTCACAGGTTTTGTAAGAACATTAAGAGCCATGCTGCAGAGATAAATATGGTCCATCATTTTACATCTTCCACTACCAATCAGATGCTTAAAAGAAGCCACAAGCAGAATATGACTACCACAAAGCCAACCTCCCTATGTTTCTGCAGAATTAATGTACCGTCTCATGAAGAATAGGAAAAGAATAAATATGAAAAGAGTAATTTAGAAACTGGGACTGCTTCTAGAAACCCATCATGAAAAAGAAGCTACTTAAAAGTGCTTACAAATGAGAGTTAGATCTAGAATGTAAGGCACCAGAATAGAAAGTGGGAGACCGCTGAATTCAAGTCCCACTTTACCCATGAAAGCTATTTGGGTGACCTTGGGCCAGTCCCTCTCTCTTTCTCTCTCTCTCTCTCTCTCAGAACTATCCACCTCGCAGGATTGTTATTGTGAGGAAAATAGGAGCAGGGAGGTATATTGGATATACTCGCTGCCTTGAGTTATTTGTAAAAATAATAAAGGCGGGATGTCAACTCGTAAAGCATTCCTGGCCTGCTCTCGAGTTGCCATAGGCAGGAGGGAGGAAGGAAACTGATGGAGCAGCAGACACAACCAGAAGCACATTCCATGCATACCTTCTTCAAGGCTGTATCCCAGGCTACCAGGACCAACCGGAGAGGCGTGATTTCTACAGGCCACGAAAGTGCCCCGTTGGAGAATGTGATTTATGACACACCCTGGGGGGAGGGGGGAAATAGGATCATAGGTGGGCCGTAAATTACGTCAGGCGGAGCTGACTTCATTTGGGTATGTGTCGACATGTTGCTCCTAATAAATAACTGAATTTCTTTTGAAACTTGGCTAGAGGTACATGGGTTAATTAGGGCATCCGTCAGAACCCTGACATAGGATACAAATAAATAAATGAATAAAGTCTACAGAACAACATTTGCAGAAGACTAAAAGTACAGCTCCACCCTAATTAATCCACGCTACAATGAAACACCATTGGTTCCCATCTAATTCTCATTCCTGTTTAATAGGAAGGAAAACATTTGTTTCATTTCAATTGTTTACTCTTTGATTGAAAATTACAGAAGGCCAAGATCTAGAGTCACTAAAATGGAGACACGCCATCTACATGTAGTAGTTAAGCTGTTTTATTAAGATTGGGGTGTCAGTGAAGTTAACTGATTCATTTTGGGCTGATCATTCTCTTTCAGCCAAATTCACCTGACCTGATTATAGCAGTAAAGAAAATTGGAAGGTGATCCACACCATGATTAACCTCTTGAAAAAAATAGAATATATATATCTAAATTTTAATCTAATTTAGTCTGAACTAAGAAGACCATAGGCCACTGATTTATCTGTGATAATTGTGGCGAGATATTTTTTCCCCCCAACTTAAATTAGCTGTCACTGTAACACTTCCAACTTTTCAAAGAGAGGCAATAAATTAACAAACTTTAAATAATTCATATCAATGAAAAAATAATATTGCAACTAACAGCAATTACAAAGCTTTATAATCAACTGATTTTTTTTTCCTCCTTTGCATTCCTTGTTCATGATAAATTATAGTTTCAAACATGATCTGGGATGCAGTTTCTAACTTCATTGCCATTCCAAATTAGGCTTCAAAAGTATCCTTCCTTCCTTCCTTCCTTTCTCCCTCCCTCCCATTTTGGACACTAGGGGGAATCAATCCATAAGCCTTCTGTTCTATTCCTACTTTTTAAAAAAAGCAGAAAGAGAAGAAACTTAAAAAACATAGTGTGGAACACAGCAAGTAGCCTAAGATTATCTATTCCTGTGCTGTTAGATAAAGTGGGGCATTTAATTAATTAATCAGTGGAACGGCTTGCTACAGGAACTCTGGATGCTCCATTACTGGAGGTTTTTAAGAAGAGATTGGACAATATTTTGTCTGAAATGGTTATAGGGGATCTCCTGCTTCAAAAGGGAGTTGGACTAGAAGATCTCCAAGGTCCCTTCCAGCTCTGTTATTCTGAAAGAATTTATAATAGTCAGAGATGGTTTTGCTTTAGCTCAATACTCCCAACTGAGTAAACATGCCAGTGTTCTGACCAAGGCTTCCGAGACCGTAATTACGCACATGCTTATTTTAAAAACAACTCTTTATTTTATTGCAACACTGGGAATTATTTCCATTTCCAGCCAGTAATGAATCTCAAACAGTCCCTCGAGATAAGCACCCACCTTTCCTTCCTGTGAAGTGCTGCCAATAACAGAAGGGTCCAGTGAATTAGAAAAAAAAAAAAAACCAACTGAAGTACAAAGAGCTTCAAGAATGAATCTGAACCGAAGAAACGACTTTGCTTCCTGCAAAGGTTTCATCATCTTTGCCTTTCCTTTATACCTTATGGGAGGGGCAAATGCCTCCCAGTCTTACTCCTGAGTCGCTTTTGTTTCAGCTGCTCTTGCCTTCTAGCAGCTCTGCGCACACGTGCACTGAGGCTCCCCTTATTTGCTGCTGCCAGACTCCGAAGGCTCCGGAGGCAGCACCCCACTCCCAGATTGTCCTGGCCCCATCTCTGCATCGGACCCAGGACCCTCGTCCGAGTCCTCTCCAGACTCCTGCAGAGTATTTTTAATGGCCGGATGCCCTTCCTGTTGCCAATGAGGAGTTTCGTTCAGCAGATATATTTTCAGTGTGTCCAGAGAGAGAAATGTCAGGCCTCTACTTAGGATCGAACTCACAGCCTCCTGATTGTCCCCTTTCTTCCCCACTGTCTGATTCCACTGCCGTCTGCACCGGCTGCTGGCGAACCACAACAGCCAGTCTATTCTTTGGTCCCTTTGTCCATGGCAATATTCCAAAATGTCCTACTTAAGCCTGTTGGGGTCTGATGAGAAGCTAGTGCAGATGTCTATAAACAAACAGTTTTCTTAAAATTTAATGTTTGGATGCCTCTGATACGTATTTCCTATGCTTAGGCCTGCACTGACTCTCAAACTAGCTTTTTGGAATACTTGCAAAATCAGAAATAAAAAATTCATTATTCACTACACTCCAACCGTCACTTTGGCATTTTAATTTGCAGGCTATTCCTTGCAATTGCGGGAACTGCTTTCATTCGGGGGCTTAATACTCTAATTTGTTTTATTTATTAATCCACGTTAATATTCCATTAAAGTGCTTTTAAGAGACTTACAATAAAAATGAGAACACAAGTACACCAATCAAAAGCATTAATACGGTAAAAGATATAGCTTATTTCTATCTGATTAAATCCTTCTTAAACAACTGAAAACTCTTAAAACTATCTTCAAATGTTTTTTAAAAGCTAAAAGGGTGTCAGCTGACCTCAGATTGATCCAAGAAGAAGCTATGACTGAGAATGTAATTTTCCAGGCCCATGGCAGCATCTGAAGCATCCCCTCTGTGTTGTAACTTGGGTCTTCTTCTTTTAATGACCCCATAATCCCTTACAGGGTGGAGTCTGAGCAACTGAATGGAGCTAGCAGAGTGTTTTTAATGGTCGGATGCCCTTCCTGTTGCCAAGGCAGAGTCTGGTTCAGCAGATATATTCTCAGTGTGTCCAGAGAGAGAAATGTCTGCCTCTACCTAGGATCGAACTCACAGCCTCCTGATTGGCCACCGCACTACTCCTCTGTTGTAACTTGGATGATGGACAACATTTATTTGAAGCAGACAGACCCAAAGTTTGTAAGCGCCAAGCCTGTTGCGACCATAGTTCTAATCAGTTTCACTACAGGTAGTCCTTGACTTACAAGTACATATTTGTTTAGTGAAACATTGAAGCTACAATAGCACTGGAAAAAGTGACTTATGGTGGCTTTTCACACTTATGACCATTGCAGCATTTCTGTGGTCATGTGATCAAAATCTAAATGGTTGGCAACTGGCATGTATTTATGATAGTTGCACTGCCTCCGGGGGTTGTGTGATCACCGTTTGTAACCTTCCTAGCTGGCTTCCAACAAGCAAACTCAAAAGAGCAGACAGAACTTGGGGGGGGGGAGGCGGAGTTAAACACATCATCAGCTTAGAATCATTGCATTTCCACAATTGCTTCCGGGTCCAAACCTTCCTGAATTCCATTGACCTTTATCTGGTATCGATTTAGTACTGAACTTTAGTCGATTAGATTCTTGTGCATAGGGACTGAATACATCTTCTATGCTACAAATGCTCCTGATTATCTGTGCCTAACAACAACTTACTTTTCTGGTCCCACCTAAAGTCTCAGCATCAAAGAATAAAATCACACAATTGCTATGAAATGCACCCATGCATGGCACAAGGTTCTTTACCAAAATGTGGGATCTAGATCAAGAGTGCATACTTTACCTTACAGCGATTAAACCTAATAATTTTGGATTCCCCTACAATATGTAATCCATTCTTATATCAGCACACCACAAATAGCAAAATAAATGCAACTTGTTAGTGATCAATCAGTCAATTTAAGAATGGAAGTGATTTTTATTAATCTTGACGATTCTCAATTCATCAAATTCTCAATTCTCCCCTCTCAAGGTTTCATTTCTATTTAAGAGACCACAGATTTGCCACAGGAAATTTGGGATAAAAATACTTAAATTCGATTCCATTCTCCTAAATGTTTAGGCCAGAATTATACTGAAGATGAATCTACTGCAGCAAATTAAAGAGTCATGCAAATAGTCCATATAAGGTGCAATACTGGCAAACGATCTGTCTATTTTTACTAGTGTTATATCATGCAATCCGAAGCTAAGACAGATAAGAGATATACTCACCGGAACTTTACTTCCAATTATCTGCATGCAGTGATCAACGAAGAGAAGTGAGAGCAATGAATAAAAACAAAAAGAAGTACAATAAATAAGCTGAAGCATTTCACACAACCCAACAAGTGTTTAGGATTTAGTAAATTGTTAAAAGATGTTTAAAATTAAAACAGAAATATTCACAAACAAGCAAGTCCAAGAACTATAAAAAGAGATACTTTAATTGCACATATCCATAACAGTTTAATACAACAAAGAGGACTTGTTTGATTAAGAATACAGTGTGTATTAGTGCATGCAAAAAAAGAACAGTGAAGAATTCATTAGGTACACATTTTCACAAAACTGCCTCTTTTTTTTTCCTGAGAAAAAGCTTGTTACAGGTTAGACAGCTGCAGCAAGCAGACTAAATTGCAGCGGTACTTTTATTATATTTTCACTCTAAAATTTAAATAGCTCTCTGTTTTCATTCAGTGCATCTACACAGAATGCCAGTCATAATAAAAGAGTTGCATTGTGTTCATTTTGTAATTAACAATTAATTACTACGTATCATTTCTACGTTCCCACCTTTGGAAAACAAGGTGATTAGAACTACCAGATAATCTTCTTTTTTTGCAATTATCACACCAAAGGGCTCACTACAGGAGAAAATTATGCTGCTGACTCAATTCTAGACCTGATTTCTAAAGAGAATGAGTCGAAGAAAGATATAGTTCAAAACATGATAAGGAAGAACAAAAAAAAAAAATTGAGAATGGAATGAGCCGATCTTAATCTATCTCCATCTCCTGTCTCCATCTCTATGTATGTATGTATATCTATCGATGGCTCTTATGGTAGAAAGAGATGTTTGCTTCATCATAGTTCTAGCAGCATCTTTGGCAAATTCACACAAAGCCAGCTATAGTTTCAAGAAAACATCTGTACAACCTCCTGTTGTATGATAGTGGCTGGTGGGACAACATTTAAGGAACTATAGATACAAGCGAGATCTCACCTCCATCATCTTCTTCAAAAGTTCTAGCAGAATATAGTAATAATAGTGACCTACTGTTCAACACAGACCTAATATTGTATCTTTTACCAAATATCACTAGATGGATTGTTATTATTCGGAGGAGATATCTGATATAGAGAAAACATTTTAATGCATTCATACAATGGAATACAGGGTCAAGAGGCCAAATGCATACCAAGTCCCCATTTAAATATAAAGTTTTCCGATTCAAATACCTGAAGAATCATCTAACTGCAGTAAGGATTAGCCTGATCTACTCTCACAGACCAAACGGGCATGTTGAATATCTAGCAAGATAAGGAATTGACTAGGTATGTTTCCTGGTAAAATACAAAGGAAAAATCCCATGGGGGCGGGGGGGGGGGGACCCACTGTCAACTCATAAAATATTTCTATGGTCTTTTTAGAGTTGCCAACAGAAAGGGAGGGGGGAGCACTGCAGCAGCTTACAAAACCGAAACTGCATTCCATAAATGTTTTCAGAGATAGTAACTAGGTGACTGAAGTTTCTGCCTGGGAAAATTCTAACCGGAGAACATGATGGGTGATTCTTGGCTATAGATGTGTCCCATTGGAGAATATGAATTATGATACACCCAGGGGGTGGGTGGAAACCAGGGTCAACGTGACAATGAATTATGTGTCTCAGAGTCGGCTACATCCAAGCAGTGCTGGCATGTTAACTCCCAATAATTCCTTTTTAAGTTTTGGAAGTTTGGCTCAAGACTCATGATTTAAATAGGGGTAACTGCCGGAGCCCTGACACCCACTTAGGGTTAGGGTTAGGTCTCCAAGAACTCAGAGAGCAAAATGGACACGAGTGTTCATTCAGCGTTATCTCCATTTTGCATTCTGATTTAGTTACGTTAAGAGTTTATTCTCATTCTGCCTTTAGGTCTTTGAAAAAGGGAACGGAATACACAAGCTTGCGTCTCCCAAATCACCCTAACTACAAACAATAACTTGAGCACAAAAAAACTGAGTAAAGATTTTGAGATTTTTGGCACCTCGAAGTAAAGTAAAAGCCCTATCCATCCCATAATTCTGTCTAAAGTAGGCCAGGGGCAAAAGCACTTATCAGTTGAAACATATTTCTGCCCTCGGATAGCCAAGCAAATTAAAGAACATGAAATCTATCCATTCTGGTTGTGGTACCAGCTTGTAAAAAAAAGGTGTTGCAGAAAGATGAAGAAGAGGAGGAACTGTCATGCCCCTGTCGGAGTCTGAATCTGAGGAGGAAGACGAACAGCTGACAGGGAGTGGGAGTGTGGCTCCGTTGGCTGTGGAGGCAGCTGGGGAAGGGCAAAGTCCAGCTGGGCAGAGCAGGGAAGGGGAAGAACAAGGGAGAGGGAGTTCAGAGGAAGACCCAGGCCCACCCCTTCATCCTAGGGCATGCAGGGAGGAACGGAGAAGAGAGCAATGTGGGTTGCGTGGCTTATGGGGGAGGAAAGAGCCCTGATTCCCTTCATTAGCCACACCTGGGAATGAGAGTTTAAAAGAACTGAATGCTGACTGCAGCAGCTGCTGGGAGCAAACGTGACTTTATCCTATGTTGACTTTGCTTATCTATGTTCCTAGCATCTTCCCAACCATGTGAGCTTTGCCGTGCCTTCACGTCTGGAATTCTTGCTCCCTCCCTGCCAAACTAATTACCTCATTTTGACTTATAATTACAGTTTGTATTGACCATGTTGTGGACTTGATTCATTGTAGTCAAAGGCTGTTCCTGGAAGTTTTTCTCCAGCCAGAAAGTAACCTGGACATTGGGGGCCAATTGGAGCTAATAATTGGAGCTAATAAAGGGACTCTTATTGATTATCTGACTGTGTTCCCTTTGTGCCACACCCCGGGTCATCACAAAAACTCTTGCTGTTGCTTTCATCTTACAATGTTTCCTACACTGCTTGTTTGTTAGGTGTAGCAAAAGCTATTTTATACATAGCATTACATCTGAGAAAACCTACAATCTTAAGTAGCTTCAGCCTGATATTAACATGATACAGGAGAACATTATGGGAAGTACAGATAGATCCTCAACGTACGACCACAATTGAGCCCAAAATTTAGGTTGTCAAGTGAGACACATTAAGGGAGTTTTGCCCTGTCTTCCTTGCCACAGTTCTTAAGTGAATCACTGCAGTCGTTAAATTAGTAACACAGTTGTTAAGCAAATCTGGCTGCCGGTCATAAGTCACTTTTTTTCAGTCCCTTTGTAACTTCGAACAGTTGCTAAATGAACTGCTGTACCGTGTGGTAGTTTGGAAGTCACCAAATGCATATTTCTATTAGCAGAACGGAAGCAACAAAGCCAGGGGGATCATTTCAGCACTTTAAAAATGACAATTAATGTCATGATTTCTCTTGAAGATCTGCATTTTAAAACAACCGTTTAGAATCAAGAAGCCTCTTGTAAAAAGCTACTTTACAAAAAAAAGCATTGCTTGCACAAGGCATGCAGAATTTTGCGTAGCAGTCCTAACAGTCGGATTCCTCTTGGACCCAAACAGATTTGAGACAGGTTAGGAAACATCCCAAGAAAGAACAGCATACGAAAATGAAATCATTGATCCCAGCAGGTTTTTTTAAAAAGATAGCACCAAATTTATAGCATCAGTCAACAAGAAAGCAGTTAGGAAAGATATTTTTGCACCTTAAGTCAGAAAGTCCAATTTTTTTTTTCTTTCTGTTATCATGCATGCAAGAGACACTGTGGAAAAAAGCTTGATAATTATTCCAGAGAAATGGATTTAAATTACTTATTGGTTTACTGTAAGGAGAGAATCATGTTTCAAATGACTATCCGGGTATGAGATATGCAATACATTCTAATTAAGGCTTTTATCTACCCTTGAAGGCATTTTAAAGGATTTCAGGAAGAAAGCTTTGTAGGTGCTCTTAATAACGATAAACTGAAGCAGAAATTTGGAGATTTGAGTTGAAAACTGCAGATGTTGTTAAGAGTATTAGCCTGACCTATCTTGGGAAGCGAGGAAGGCAGAAACTCTACTCACAGATTTGGCAGTTGCAGAAATGTACTGGACAACCATTTCACGTTTTGTGGTCAAATCTTTATTCCGTAAAGGAGCTTTCCGTTCTTCATTTAGATTCATGTCTTCCTATAAATAAATAGGCATAACATTGCCAAGATTGGATTATTATGTCATAGTTTTTCTTAATCTTCATGACTGCAGATGCTAAGAATTGCTCTACATCTAGGCAAAATATAGGGTTGGCTGGTTTATTTGAGACAGGCTATTTCTCATCATTATCCTAAACTATTAGTTTATGGAAACAGCTTTAATGTAGACTTCAAACTCTTCCTTTTTTCAGTCCCCATATCACACCCAATGTCGGTAAAATGAGGACCCAAATTGTTGGGGACAATAGGCTGACTCTGTAAATTGCTTAGAGAGCACTGTGTAGTGGTATATAAGTAAAGCACTGTGAAGTGGTATATTTTATTTATTTATTTATTTATTTGATTTGCCAATTGTTTACAAGATAATAAGTATAAATGTATACATAGTTGTGAATACATGAAATGGTTACATATAAGAAAAATAAAAGAATAAGAGAAACAATAGGACAGGGACGGTAGGCACGTTGGTGCGCTTATGCACGTCCCCTATAAGTCTAAGTGCTATGGCTATCGCTATTGCTATCTGTTGTGAGTTATATCATTTGCAATCCCTATACCATTTGAGCCATAACATCATTAAGCAATTGATGACTTTTGCACAAATGTATCCATCGGGCCAAAGTCATAAATTCATACAAGTGGCAGAATGTCAGTTCACAACATTACTGTGCAAATTAGGTCAATCTCCAAGATATGCTATTTTCTGATTAAGTGGACATTCCTGAATAATCTTCACCCTCCCCCAATTAGTCTTTAAAGCAAGACTTCACTGTGGATGGGATATTTGACAATTTTATAATGTTGCTTTACTTTAAAAATAATAATAATAATCTTAAACTATTTGGTTTTTAATGTTTTATTATATTGATTAAACTGTACATTGCCCGGAGCCGCTCTATGAAGTAAGTGGGTAATTTAAAAATTTGATATATAAATAAATAAAGATGCTGTGGGGAAATAAAACATAGGAAGTTTGAACAGTTATATAATTAACAAATGCCTGTTTACAAAATTGTGGTTCACAATGCAATTGTTGTTATGGTGATAAGCTTCAACATGTTTTATTTTTTTAAAAAAAATGAACCGAAGAACAGGAGCTTATATTAATTCTTTATACCTCTGCTAAATTGGACTACAGCCTGAAAACATATATTCCATAATAAATGTATTAAATTATAGATACACACATGGCGGTGCAGTGGTTAGAATGCAGTACTGCAGGCTACTTCTGCTGACTGCCAGTTGCCTTCAATTTGGCAGTTCGATTCTCACCAAGCTCAAAGTTGACTCAACCTTCCATCCTTCCGAGGTCAGTAAAATGAGGACTCAGATTGTTGGGGGCAATAGGCTGACTCTGTAAACCGCTTAGAGAGGGCTGTAAAGCACTATAAAGCGGTATATAAGTCTAAGTGCTATGGCTATTGGCTTCTTTGCTTTCGCTGCAACAGGCTAACTTGCTGATGAATTCTATGAAGGGGTGCATTTAAATCTTTGTAATCTTCCTGACAAAATTCTTAATAACTTCCATTAGGAAAAAAAAATGGAAATAAGGTTTATTTATCAAATGGCTTTCATTTTCAAAACTACTTTCACTCCCTGGTGGATTCATTCCATACTCATCAGCACCCTAACCATTACAGAGCATTTTGAGCTGCAAACTGTTAGTGGCTAATTAGAAGCTATTGAAAAATTATCTTTATGGGGATAAGACATGATCAAGCTATTACACACAATTATGTGGTCACTGAGAAGGATGAAAATGTCACAAGGGCTGTCCATTAGCATTTTTATTAGAAGTAAAATGGGCTTTCTAAGGCCTCTACTCAAGAAAGCCAATGTAAAGCCCTGTTAGAATCCTCCATCCTCAAATCATCAACTGTTAATTAGTGATTTCACTTTTCTTAGGGAAAGGAACTGTTCCATTCAGAAGTTTGATAGACCTTTGGCACAAACCTCTCATACAATGCGCTATTTGTAATATACCATGTTTCCCCGAAAATAAGACCCTGCGGCCTCCTTTTTACTGCCAGAGGCCTTCTTCTTCTGCAGCCGGCCTCTGCAGTGGATAACAGAGCTCTGGATCGATCCAGAGCTTTGTTATCAGCTACAGAGGCCTTCAGGAAAGCCTTGACAGCCTTGCTGGCTGCAGAAGAAATGGGCCGGCAAGGCAGGTGTTGGGGTGTGTGAGGCCTTGGTACAACTGTCCAAAGATAAGTAGTAGGGCAACTCCACCCCTCAATCCCCACCGTAGCTTATTTTTTACTCATGCACTCTGGAGTGGGTGGGATCTTAATTAGGGCTTATTTTGGGGGTAGGACTTATACTGGGCACACATGTAAAAATTAAGCTAGGACTTACTTTCAGGGTAGGTTGCATTTTCAGGGAAACAGGGTAGAAAGAAACACATCTATTGAGAATATTAAAACTTACCATCATTTTCTCAAATAGGTCCATCACTTCTTTTTCTGATAAATTCATTGAACGTTCATCAAACAGTGGCTGAGCCACTGGCAATTCATTAATAGAGGCCGGTGAGTCGATGGGGTGCTGGATAAGTAGTCTCTCCTTTTTGACTCCAGATTTCCTAAAACTAGTTAATCTGTCCCGCTGCAAAAAGAAAATAAATATTCTTAAACGTAGATATCTAGGAGAAAATGCACTGATGCATTACTTGACATGCCAACAACACAGGAATAATCATGCCCAAAATTAAGCCATACCACTTATTTCTGAGACTGTACTTCATGTGCTTTGTTTTATCTAATCTTAGTTACTGGACAGAATCAGGATGTGTGGTTTAATAAAATGGAGAATCTCCAGATTTGGAACCAAATAACTTTTTAAACAAGAAAAGCTAAGTTTAAACCAAGCCAATTTTTATTCTGCATCCATTTCTTCTGCTATTAATCAATAAATAAGGCACAATTAGACTGAGATTCTAGAAGTACATTGTTCTCTGAAGTCTTTTAGGCCAATATTAAAACCCACTTTGTGTATAAAATTAAAATAAGGTATTTAAAGAAAGAACACTTAGATTTTGAGAACATTTTTACATATCTAACACTTAGTTTTGTTCTTACATAATCACAGCACACTCAGCTTCATACCTCATCACCTAATCATCATTTCCATAAACTGGTAACTGGTGAATGTTTAATAAACTGAATATAAGTTCCTTTTGTGAGGCCTGAACCAAGGCCCTCCATGATATAAGTACAGTCTCACTGCAGAAGCAAATCAGCTGTAAAAATGCCTTACATAAGTTAAAGTTACATGCTTCATCACATTAGTTGAAGATAACATTAAGAAGCACAATGTTGCAGGCAAAGGGGCTTAATCTACTGTTTCTCTCAGCACTACATGCACGCCTGGTTATGTATTAGTAGAAAAGAATCTATTTTTGCTTTTGCTTAGCTGGAATATATTCAGCATAACGAGGGTCAGCAAAAGGTGGGAGCCACTTTGGATGATGGGAAACCTTCACGAGATGAATGAGCTGGGTGCAGCTTGGTGAAATTCAATAGGATTTTACTGGAACAAGCTATGGATTGTAATACATCCAATGCTCCAAGAGTGCAAAACTGCAGCAATGGCTAATTCCCTCCAAGAAGGTGTCAATTTATAGTATGTCTTGAATTGGAGATAGAAGATTGCTTTTTAAAATAAACAGATCAGTCATAGCCATAATCGCCATGGAGGTAGCACAAATTAACGGCACAAGTTGATGATGCCAAGACTTTTTGGAATCAGGATACAACAATAAAATCAGGTGAGTTTATCTACTTCCCATTTTAGAAGACTAGTTAAAATTACATTATCACATGGAGGGCTGGTACCCTAATTTAATTTCAAGATTTCCCTGGAAAACAAATTCTCTTAGGTTGGGGGTGACAGCTAGTGTAAGAACCAGTTAGAATGTTAGTGGTTATTAATAGAAGCACATCATACATCTGTGTTTATAATTAAGGTTATGCAATATACTGTAAGCAACATGCACTAGAATACAAACCCACATATGAGAATCTTACCACATCATCTGCCAAAGTTTTTATCTGCAGATTCTATTCAAATCAAGAAGACAAGAAAATGGGTGTTACCTAGTGTAAATCAAATTTAAAGATCCCTCTTTTCATTTGCATTGAAACCTTTTCTTATTTTCTCACTAAATATCCACCTAAAAGGGTATCAACACTCTTGCCATCACAACAGAAGCTTCCTCTGGAGTGCAGGTGTTACACACATCACTTTAAACTAGGCATGGCTGGCGCAGGAATTCTGGGAGTTTGAAGTCCATTGTTGCCCAGCCCTGCTCTAAACCCCTCTATTCAATCATTCAACTTTCCAGTTTTCACCATGAGACCTGTACAAAGAAGGTAAACTAAAGGAGAAGACCATGGAAAAGAAAGAGAGAAAAGCGAATAAAGCTATTTGGTGGGATACATTATTTTCATGCTGCCCATTTAGTATCAACACAAAACAAAAGCTTATAATTGGAAAATTAGGTCTGTAAAATACAGACCATTTCGATCATTAAGAATATGATACTGAAATAGCTTAAGATGAATTCTCAAAATATAATGTAAAACAAGAAGTTAATTTTTAAGTTAACTTGGAAGTTTTGATAATGTACTTGGCCAAAATATGCAATATAGTCCTAAAAATAGAGTGATGATTATAGAGGCTCCCTGTACCAATTCTACCTTCCTTCCTTCCCTCCCTCCCTCCTCCCACCCATCCTCCTTCCTACCTACCAACCTTCCAACCAATCTATCAACCAACCGACCAACCTTGGCTTCTATGGCTCGAACTACCAGATTCCTCCTTTACCAAGATGTTACAATACTATCAGAGATTCTTAGAAAACACAAGTAATAGAATCTGCTTTACTAGAATGGTGTCCACCTACTTCTGACAAAATAATGTAAAGCAAGGATGATAGAGACATCATGGGAAGTTATAGGAACTAGATTACTAGATTACTTTTTGGTAAATGACTATTAAATAACTGGTTACACCTAACCGATTTGCTGATTAATCTCCAGAGTATGTTTTCAATATTACAAGTGTGATCACCAGCACTCCCTCGCCCCAAAATTACTTACTTCTAATCAAGCTATCCTTGTCTTTGATCACAATTCCCCATGGTGCAATTTGAGCTACAGTGGTATAGTAATGGACTGGAATTGAGAGGGAAAAAACAGGTTTGTGTACATCTTTGGCCACTATTCAGTCATCCTCTCCCACTTCAATGGAAGTGTAGGAGACATGTAAGAAGAAGCACTATGTATCTCATCTTGCGTAAGAAGTGGGGACAGACATCTAGCATATCAATTAATTAAAATGCAGGTAGGTTCTGCAGGTATTGAACGCTTTTAAAGAGCCACATCTTTAGGAATAAAAACCGAGCTCATCATGATTTACCAGCTTGTAAAATTTTGAAACGTCCTTCCATCTATGACACAGAACTACCTATAGCTTTAAAAAAAAATTCTCATGATTTATCACAGAAACTCGGGGGTCACTGCTGTTTAAGTAGGAATCTCTTTATTCTGGTAAACAAAAGCATTTTCCCTGGGAACAATAGGTACTTACTTACTCTCATCCAATGTGCCATCTAATCTCATTTGTTTTGTTTGAGACCCATAGTTGTGACTAGAACATTTTTATGTTATGTATTCCAAACTATTTTTAAAAAGGACATACAGCACTATATTTCTGTTTCATATAATAACTCAAGCAAAGCTATTTGGAAAGCGAGTTTGAAGCTATGGTTGAATTCTGGACATATACCTATTATTATTTTCAGCAATAGGCCACATGTTGTATTAAATTTTGCTACACTTATTTATTCCAATGTATTTTATTCATCAATAATGCATAAGATTCTTCACTTCAAAGCTCATCACAAACAAGAGAAAAGCTATTATAATACAATCCCGCTTGTTTTCGAGCTTTAACTATGACTGATTAACCATTCCTGTAATAGCACAGGAAATCTTTAGTGTTCCATCAATGTTGCCATCTCAAAGCAGGCATAATTCAAGGTGTAACTAGTCAATTATTCCAACTAGCATTCTTTGAAGGACAGCTTGAAGTCTACCCCCCTTAACAATCTGAACACAATCTCGCTTTAATTGCCCTAACCAAGATGGTCTAAAATCCACTTTGCTTCAACAGGCCACTGAACTGCGGGAGGGGGGAAAAAAATAACACAGATCACTTTTTCTATCTATTTAGAAAATTGAGTCCATGCTGGATAGGGCATAAGCAAGCAATTTCTACCCTAATGTTTGCATTTATTTCTCAAAGTGCACTGCTTAGAGAAATGAATGAGCTGACATGGAAATGCAATGTGATTTTGGTGCTGCTCAATTTGAAAATTCCCTCTACTGTAAGAGGCCCAATCCACCCACCCCTGCCAGTATTTAATGATAGAAAGGACCAAAAGGAAACATACGTGAACATATAGTCTGACCTTAATTTGCCATTTTAAAAGCATGTTGGTTAAATTTCAATCTGCACAGCACTCATAAATCAGATAATGAGCATCTAATGTAAACAAATCTCCTGAAACAATGCTGATGCATTACTAATTAGGGAGTCCAGCCCCCAGACAAAAGTTATAAGAAAGGGTATAATCTTATTTAATGAGTCATGAGTTCTACCATATGGGATGCATTCCAATTAATTCCACTAGGAGTCTCCACACCAGTAGGAACACATTGCAAAGGGATCCAGAAGCCATAACATCTGGAAACATAGAGAAGTACACTAGAAAAAGATCCACAAAAGCAAAAAGAAAAGCCACAAAGACCACAGTCTGGGACAACAAAAATGGCCCTTCGGCCCACGAAGAATATAATTTGCTTAGCCACTGCAATTGACTGGGCAAACAAAGGATCCAATTGTGGTTTTTAGGGGGTGGAAAGAGGACATGTTTAACAAAAGTGACAATGGCTTATCCCAAGCACAGTTTAACCAGAGGAGAAAAGCACATGAACCACAAACCATAAGCTTTTCTCATGCAAAAGAAAAGAGGGTTGCAAAGGACTTCACTTCAGGAGTAATTAAAATCAAGCAATTTATTCAAATAAGTAAATAAATCGCCAGAGTTCTTGTTCAGGCTGTTGCTGCTGAAGTGCAGGGTTTTTCTTTATTCTGAATTTAAAATAAACTGGATTTCTTAAGCAAGTTTCATTGATAATGTGCCATTCGAGTCCATGTCGGTGCTTAAGAGACCACAGGCTGCAGATAAGATTTTCTTCAGGACAATCTGTCCTCAGCATAATTTATAAGGGCTTCTGAGGTCTATTGTTTCCATTAATTGTCCCCAAAAAAACTGCCATCAAAGAAGAGACAATTTCAATCTTCTTCTATATATAAATACCCCTCACGGATCATCACAAAATCTCCAGAACCGTAAAGCCTACAAACTTGAAATTTGGCACATAATGTTCCTCTTGGCTTCTAGGTGCTCACTAAGAAAGGATTTTTCGAAATGACCATCACAGCATTAGTATTTTGTATATTATTAGTATTAACACGCTCTGATGCTAAGGAGTTCTACACCCCCTTCCTACCTGAAAAAAAATCTCTTCCAAATGCAAAACACAAGCAGAGGAGAGGAGAGTTTTAGTTTCACTGTAGCAAGCAGCTTTAGTACAGAACAGTTGAGCTAAGCCACATCCAAACTCCTTGCTGTCTCCCTCTTGCTCACGCAGCAAATACTGTTTCGGTTTCCAAACACTCCTCAACTCTCTCACACACTGACAGGACGCTAGCTAGATGAATACTGATGGATGCAGGTAGACAGAGGCAGATTTTTTCCCCCCTTATTTTCCTCCCCAAAAACTAAGTCTGACCACACGGTTTCGTAGCGAAGCACAGGTATCAAGCTAGTTTTTTTTTTTTTTAATATTTCTGAATAAGAAAGAAGTCTAAGAATGTCAAGTTGGCATGCTGGTTAAGGTACCAGGCTAGAAATTTGGAAGACCGTGAGTTCTAGTCCTGCTTTAGGCATGAAGCCAACTGGGTGACTTTGAGCCAATCAATCACTCTGGGCCCTAAAGAGGAAACAATGGCACACACTTCTGAAAACCCGCCGAGAAAACTACAGGAACTAAGTCCAGGAAAACGTCAGGAATCAACAATGACTCACACACACACATTCAGACACACATACAGAAGGGCTATACAAGATCTGCCACAATCTGCAGGCATTTTGCCATGTTACTGAAAACAGCGTAATTTTTCTTTTCCTGATTTAATCAGTTAAATGTTTTCCCTTGCGCACAATGTAGTACAAATAGCCACTTTTGTCTGTTACTAATGCTGAAATGATTTTGTATGAATCTTTGTTTTCCTTGAAGAATAAACATAATTTGGAGGTTCCTAATAAAGTAGAAAAGATTTTAACCATGGTATTTCTATCTATCTATCTATCTATCTATCTATCTATCTATCTATCATCTATCTATCTATCTATCTATCTGTCCATCCATCCATCCATCCATCCATCCATCCATCCATCCATCCCTCCCTTCCTTCCTTCCTTCCTTCCTTCCTTCCTTCCTTCCTTTCTTTCTTTCTTTCTTTCTTTCCTTCCTTCCTTCCTTCCTTCCTTCCTTCCTTCCTTCCTTCCTTCCTTCCTTCCTTTCTTTTTCCTTCCTTTCTTTTTCCTTCCTTCTTTCTTTCTTTCCAGTATCAATTGCAATTTTGCTCATTCAGTACCCAGTAATATTGTCATTCACATGAGGAACGCATCGTGTTGTGTAGTACCGACAATAATCTTCTACAAAGAGGAAATAAACAAATAAAAATGGCATGCTGAATTTTAGTTTTGATGGTGTTAAACAAGTAAAATACCCTGGTGATTATTAGCTGTTCCCATACGTTGCTACTAGCAGCCATATTTGGGTTAATTGACCAAGAATAATGGGTAGATCTTTTTTTTTTCTTTTTTTCTTTTCATCACAAATTTGAGGAAGGGAGAAATGCAAGACCTTATGCTTGTGGGGAAAAGATACGACGTGCAACCTCTGTTAAGCATCTGGAGC